GATCAACAAGCCCAAGATGAGCTAAGCTTCATGTGGAGAATCATCACTGGTCATGAGAGTTGGGTCAACAGCTCTGAGCAGAGACTAAACAGCAGTCTTCAGTAAAGGGGTCACAGTCCCAGGAAGGTCAGGTTAGGAGCACCAGTGCCTTACTCACCATTTTCTTCAACATTCATGTAGTTGTGCACCATGAATGAGTCCTCCAGGGACTGTCTCACAGTGGCTTCCATGGAGGTCTCCTGAGGCACACTAGTCCACGGCTGCCTGAGCCTTATTACCCCTGTCCACATCCGCAGATCTATCCTGGTGAGAGCTGCAGCTGGCAGGGACTAGCATTTAGCCCTGCAAGTAGAACATTGCAGTCAAAACTCCTTCACAACCCTATGTCTTGAGATGCTGTTGTTGCCACACCTGCCTCCATAGTACCTCATGTTGTCATTGTCCAGTATGTCCAGAACCTACAATACCCACAACACCATAGAAAAACAAGTACTGGCTGTAAAATAGAGGAACCTTTANGTAGGGCTGTGTCTCCGTCTGTACCCCCAGTCACTGTATGAAGGAATGATGGAGGAGGCTCATTGTCCAGGAGTTGTAGAGGAGAACCTCAGCCACTTGGTGCTGTTGCTCAAGAGGCTTGATATTGCTGACATGGGACAATGCAAGTTTCTAGACAGACCAGGTAACTTTTATACACTACTTGAAAGGATAACAGGAGTTACCTTTTAATGATGAATGACAGTCCATCACAATGTAAAATGGATGAAACAAATTTAAACCACAACACATCATATTCAGATCCCACACCTGCAGAAAACACTGCACCGCGGCAGGTAAAGGCAGAGGGGCAACAAGACCAAAACCATGATTGTATTCTAGTAACAAGCATTGAGTGTTATCCTTCTGTGACATAGAGCTCCATCATTGTCCAGAAGCTAGGGTGACTACTTTTTTTAATAGTTTAATAATCTGTCAAGGAATTTCACAATTTCTCAGTGGCTTTTATTTAGCTAGGTTGTTGATTGGCTTGTTAAATTTAGTTTCAGGTTGTTTTAGACACGTGCTAACTAGCAACAAAAACAGTAAAGGTGAATACTTCTTTTAAAATGTCTCTTGTAATGAATATTTCTTTAATGAAAATTTAAACCAAGGATAAGTAAAGTAGCAGAAAACGCATATGAGTAGACTGTTGGAGGGCACCAGATACTTTGTTGTGAAGCTTAACAACAGACTGATCTAGTAACAAGTCTGTTGACATGATGTATTCAATTTGTGTATTTATACACTCACCTTGTTGCGTACTTTTGTAAAACATGTGTGATTTATGTGAATTACTGCTACAACACTGCAATTTTTGAGACCTAGTTTCATCATATTATGAGTTAAGACAGAGGTTGTTATTTTTCGGTCATCAGTGTTTCTTCAGGTCTCCTGTGCTGAGGTTAGCGGTGAACTTGGTCCACTCTCAGCGTCTGTTTCCAGACTGTGAGAGGGTGGTCCATGTTTTTATATGATCCAAGCAGAAGTGAGTGTTGGTCCCTAATAAATGTAGTTTTCTCCTGTTAAAGTAAGAATTACAGGTTCATTAGGAACCAGTGGGTTCACTGCTGAGAGTCACAGACAGAGAAGTAAAGTTGGAAAGTACTGAGAAAGGCTAAAACATTGTTTGTTTTGGTCTTTTCTTGGCATTTTCTGAACTTAGGGAAGTGTGTATTTTGTTCTTGTCTTTTGTCATATTAGCACTGATGTGACCCATTGAGAGCCAAGCTGTGAAGAGTGTCTTCTGTAGTTTATTAACATCAGAGTAGTGTCTCCATTGACTGTCATCTTTACTGCTTCATCAGACTGTGATTGTTCAAGTGTACCACTGCAGTTTGTAGAGTGGTACTCATCCCTCTCACCCCTGTATTTCTTCCGTCTCTCCCTCCCAGCACCTGAGGCTCTAATGCAGGCCCTGGAAGACTTGGACTATCTGGCAGCGCTGGATGATGATGGGAACCTGTCGGAGGTGGGCATCATAATGTCAGAGCTGCCACTTGAGCCCTCGCTGGCCAAAGCCCTGATTGCCGCCTGCGAGTACGACTGTGTTGACGAGCTGCTTACTATAGCTGCTATGCTAACAGGTAAATAAGAAATGGAAGTTCAGTTGTTTGTAAACAATACAAATTCCAAGATCAGCTCACACTGGCTAAGACGTTATGCCCCTGACACAAAGAAAGACATTGCCATGGCTATGTGTACAAAGACTAATAGTGTAGATTGGTATTGAGCATACGAGTAGCACATTTTCAAATATAATGATTTGATATCCTTTTTTCAAACGAGCAGTTAATCTGATCTTTGTCCTGTGTCAGCTCCGTCCTGCTTCATGACTGCAGAACCCAGCAGAGAGGAGGTTGCTGTCGCACACTGGCGACCTCTGATGCACACAGAGGGAGACCACATGACTCTCATTAATATTTATAATGCCTTCATGGAGCGTACGTACCGTTCTGTTTTCATTCACACTTTCTTTCCAATAATGGTGGAATATTTACAATCACATTGAGTTCAGGGTGAGATAATGAGAAGACTTTATGCTGATCCTGTGGAGGAACTTCTGCTGATGCTGCTGCTGAGCAAGAGTCTGTCAATATGTATAAAAGGAGTAAAAAATACAGAACAATTAAACAATATAGGTTTGTGTGAGACAGAGGAAGTTTGGGCTTTGTTAAATTCTCACCGGACAGCTAATTTCAGATCCTCTTCTTGTAATATTAGTATTGACAAAACAGAAAGAGTTACAGTTTTTTCATCTTGTGTGTAGAACATAAACATCTTGAAATACAGTGTCATGATCAGACTGCAGTAATCACAAGTAGTAACGACTCAATGTCTCATTAACATGTAATGATACTTACATGAATTATTGAACGGTCTCTGTGTGATCATCACAGATAATCAGGATGAGGCATGGTGCACGACAAACTTCCTCAGTCACGCCGCCTTGCGATTAGCTGTGGTGATCCGGGCGGAGCTGCTGGAGGTGATGCAGCGAATAGAGCTTCCAGTTTCTCCCCCTGCTTTTGGATGCCAAGACAATTGCACAAATATCAAGCGTGCACTCATCTCAGGCTTCTTCCTCAAAGTAAGCACCCTGGTTTTATAAAGCTGTGTGATTGAATTTTAATCTGTTGCCTTTTCTGTTGATGCCTTTTGTGTGGTTGTCTTTAAAAAAAACAAAAAAAAAAAAAACATGATTCATGGTCTTGTTTACTATACTTTAGTCTCATGTAGTGTAGAGCAGCGGAGCTCAGTTTATTGCTTTAAACATTAGTCTGATCATTTTAAGGATAATTCTGTCATGATGCGAATACAGTATGATATGATACAGGATACAACAGAGGTGAGGACATTCCTCTGATATGTAATTGTCAAATGTTTCAAATTGTATCACCTCTTCATGGTTGCATTATTTCTAACTTACCAAGTAAAATGTTTGCCCTTTTGAACAATAAAAAAACAAATAGTGTAGAAAGACTATATTGAAAATACGGGCTCCAAAGTACAAACTCAATGCAACAAAATTGAGTATATCTGTGATCACTAAAACGCAAGTTAGAAAACCTGTTAACACTGAAAGAAGTTAGTAAACCTGTGATTTGAAAAATCTGTCAAAACTGCAGGGGTATCTTTTAGTTTTTGGGGTATACTAAAGAGAAGGTTAAAGCACCACAACCCCTCCAGCAATGAGCTGCTGTAGAAATTGCCTCTGAAGATAATAGAACATCAGAAATGCGTGCAACACTGATATGCACACTGAGGAGGAGGGAGTGTGTCATCAAAACGTAAGTGAAAATTCAAATCTCCGTAATGAATAACAGTAATGAATTTTTGTTGCTTTGAGTTCCTATTGTGTGTATTTATATTGTAAATTTAATGAGTTAGTTTTCAATTTTAAATAAAAGCAAATGCCCTACTATTCAACTTACAAGTAATGCAAGTACTGTGAGGTCATACTGTGTTCCATCACTTGACATTTCAGTGACATCCCCAGGATTATGCTCACTTCTGTTGTATACTACTTTATTGTCCACTTAGGTAAACTGACTTTGGGCTAATCTTGTTACATTTACCCATATATAATAGTACCTTCAAATATTATTTTCATATCGTGATTTTAGCAGCACCCTAGTGAGGATTAAGCGGTGTGTAGTTGATGGATGGCTGGATTTTAGCCAGCTCTGTACTTGTGGTGTAGATTTAAATGTGGCACGTTAATTTAGTCCAGAGTGGATACAAAAATTCATGGTCACCACATGAGAGGTTCTTCATGATCCCCTGGCATTTCTGCTAAGATGTTGACATTTGTGTTCTCCCCCCCCTCCTTTTTTATGTTTGTAATTATGTCTCAAAAAATGCAGGGCAATTTGCCTCCAGATTTTCTCCATACATTAACGTGTACCTTAGGATAAAGTGTAATAATTGGTGGTCTTTGACTGCATGTTGGTAATCTCTTAGTTTGTCCTCTACCGCCATCATCAGGTCAAAATTATAATTTGTCCAACACGTAAGTTAAGAACTAAATACCTGCCACACCCATCAGTCTCAGCTGTCTTTTGTGTTTAGTACCATCCATCCATCCATTATCTATACACCGCTTAATCCTCACTAGGGTCACGGGAGGCTGGAGTCTATCCCAGCTGACTGGGTGAAGGCAGGGGACACCCTGGACAGGTCACCAGTCTATCACAGGGCTACACAGAGAGAGAGAGACAACCAAGCACACTCACATTCACGCCTATGGACAATTTCGAATCACCAATAAACCTCAACATGTTTTTGGATTTGTGAGAGGAAGCCGGAGAACTCAGAGAGATGTTTACTTGTAAAATCAAATATTTGTTAAATATACATCGGACCAGTTGTGTATTTTTATTAGGATGGTGTGATACCTACTATCAAAACACTACAGTATTTGACTGATCTACTTTTAACATCATCTTTCATCGTGCTCCTTGACTCAGTGCATGCTTCTCTCCTTTACGTCTCCTCTCCTTGTCAGTTACTAAGTTAATGGTATCTGTTGTCCTTCTCTTCAGGTAGCTCATGATGTGGATGGCTCTGGTAACTACCTCCTGCTAACTCACCGCCATGTGGCCCATCTTCATCCGGTCTCTTCTTACCTGTGTCGCCAACCATGTCCCAGCCCCCCCAGCTGGGTACTCTACCATGAATTCACCATTTCCCGTGATAACTGCATCCGCATCGCTTCAGAAGTTCACCCTCAGATGTGAGTCAAACTGCTACACTGGCTACAGGGACAATGTAG